TCAATCCTACTTTGCAGAATATTTTATACTCTCACTCTTTTATCTTGATAGGCATATCTACCTTATACAATTAAGGAATTTAACGGGCACAGGAGGAAAAGGGTAAAACCTGTGCTTTATGTCTTTCTAGGGAGACGTGAATAATCCTTCATTCACTGCAGATAGGGCAAATAATTAGTGTACCCTTCTAGCTGAACGAACTCGTAAGTTTATTGGGGACACTTACACAGGTGACTCAAAGTCAGTTGGAACAGCAAAGAGAACCACTACAGCATGGGTAAAGATGTACAAAGACTGTTTCTTCTGGCGTTCCCTGTCCAACTTGCAGGCAACTCTACCAAATAGTCTCCCCTATTCCAGCAATTGTTTACTACTAAAACAATGGCAGAAGGGGCTTATTGATTCTTGTAACTCTCTGAACACTCTTTCTATTTCAAGTTTTATTAGTTGATTATTTCTCCCTTCCCTCTTGGAAGGAGCATTTCACTCAGAGGATGTATCTATAAAACTCCACCCCTTCCTGTGACTAACATTCTTTCTATCTCTATCTCTTCTCTATCTTCTCAGGCAATGTTACCTGAGTCTTGGAGTAGTGATGTGTATGACTAATTATTTTCATAGACTCATGTCTGAGGATTAGGTTATGATGCCACAGGAACAGTCACTTACTCTCAGCTGCTTGACTGTGATTTTCTGCAATAACTGCCACTTACTGCAAAATAAGAATCTTTTTTTCTCTTTTATTAAGGCTATGTGTTGGGTGAAAACACAAAAGCTTAGAAAGAAATTTGGCAGACAAATTGCATCTGTTTAAGAAAACAACACTAATTGCTTCCTCAGTAGGGTCTGTGACTTGCCTTGCCACAGGACATTTTCCTGGCTTAAAGTATAAAACATGAGTTCACTACTATGAGTGGGCCTTAACTACAATCAGGAAGCAGTTGGTTGCTCCCACAACTGTCATGCCACTACTGCAGTAGCAGGTACACCTTGCCTGTTGTACTGGTAGTGCAGCATATACAGTCTATACCCAAACAGGAATGCCAACAACAGCTCTTCCCCAGCAGCCTGCATAATGCTTCCTGACACTATAAAAAGCACAAAGAGAGAGGGAACATCCAGCACAGTCACAGCTTGAGTTCTCCATGCCCTGCAACTAGAGCACGTGGGGTCTTTAGCAATGAGGACTAGATCTGGTTCTGGCATGCAACCAATGGCAGTGGGAATAGCCTTAATGGTTAAGACATTTCAGCAGTCTACCTAGCCAATAACTGTTGAAGAGGAAGTCCACTGCTTACCCTGGGAATTTTAATCAACAACCTTATTGCTGGAATGCAAGAAACTGTCTTTGTAGATTCTTACACTGCTGTTTTTGTGTTCTTACATTTATTTTTAAAATGAGTAAGACAGTCAAAATTTACAATTAAACAATCATTGTGTTAAAACCTTTTTAATGAGTACAGTCAAGATTTTTGAAGGCCAACTGTTGTCTATTATAAATAAGTACTAATTATTCTTGGATTCAGTAGCCAAGGGGATTCTAAAATAAAATATTAATGAGATCCAGCACAACATGAAAGATCCCACCAAATATATCAATTGCTTTATCAGAAAAGCAATGTTGGGTACAGAAGAAAAGATGGGGAGACACTACCCCATGTAATCCTCTATAATCCTCAGCCATTGCCCATGAACCATCCTGCCTCCTTATCCTGGGGTACTACTGCAGCTCCACTGTGTATCTCCTTGCCCCACAGTGGGCTAGTTTTGTGCTCAGGTTGGCCAAGGACCAAGGAGAAGCCAGGGCCAGGCCATACTTCCATGTGTTACATTGGCATCAGCTTCCTAAGTTTGACAAGTTCTGGCTGAGGCTGGCTACCATCTCCCCACTAGACTCACCTGGATTGTGAAAGGACCTCAGGCTGGGTGAATAATTTCTACCTTCAAGATTCATTCCTGCAGAGGAGAAATATACTAAGCCTGCTCTGGTGAGCTATTTTCTCACCCTGAGGACAAACTACATCTTGTCTACCTGAACAGCTGTGTCACTCAGTTCCTTCATGCCTCTTAGAAACTGTTGCTCAGGTTTTAAAGCCTTTGAGAAACTCATTAGCACAGCATTTTGTTTTCATATGGGTTTTTTCCCCTTACATCTTTCGCTCAACACCAATCTTGGTATATTTGTTTTTGAGTGACCTGCATAGGACCCCATGAGGGAATGCTACAGTTCATAGGAAGTAGGTACAATCTCTCTCCTCTCTGTCTCTCTCTCTCTCTCTCTCTCTCTCTCTCTCTCTCTCTCTTTCAGAATATCAACTTGAAAATGCTGAGTGTCTAGAAATGGAAAATTCACCATTTATAAACACATGGTAATACTGAAAAAAGCAAGAAACATCAATGGATTATTAAACAATTAGATAAAATATCCCCAATGGATAGTATGTTTGCATTTGTAATGATTTACCTCAGATTACTATTAATTGACAGGTAGGCAGATGCTCCTATAGGAGTCTGGTTGGTACTATATAAACCAAACAATCAAACTGGTTGTCACTAATAATGAGAAAGCAAAACATAACCCATATATTCCATGTCTATCCATGTGATGCAATAGGTGGAACAGTACATTTGTGAGTATGTAATATTTCTCATAAAAATTTAAAGTGATTAAGTCCTTGGGACTAAATCAGCCTCATTGGAATTGTGAGACATTTTCAAAAGAGCTGAGGGTTGTTCTAGATTAAAGGATGTTTAAGGTGGGTGCTATCTTTTCATAATTTCTTATAATCTGACATTTATAATATTTTTCTTTAGGCATATATCTTCCTTTATTCTATAACTTTTATTTGGAGGGATAGAGAAAGTGAACATAAATGTGGAAAAATGTTAAGAACACATAGCTGTTTTAGGTACACACTGCAATTTATTCAACTTATTAGAAGCTTTGACATATTTTACAAATTAAAAAGTAAGATTTAGAACTGGAAAGATCACAAATATCTGTTAACAATAGATCATATAAATAAATTGTGCTATGCCATCCTATGATATAGAATACAAAAATAAAGATAAATTATAAACACAGGCATCAATATGAATAAATCATGATATGAAAAAGTCACAAAAATATGTACAGAATTACACTACTAATACATAGTTCAATAACAAGCTACACTATACATCATACAGGATGGTACTCTAAAAGAAAGTGAGTGTTGATGTGTGGAGCTCAAGGCAGTCATTCAGAGACACAGAAAGCATGCCAGACATCAGTACGATTCTGTCTATGAAATTGAGTCAGGGCACATAAGTGCTCAGACTATTTTTGTTTTAAGTTATTTCTGTTAAATGTATATTTTTTTTGTATGGAGGATATACTAGCAAGCACTTTATTAAGTTTAGGAATTTCATAACATTATGGAAAATGTAACAGTTTACATGGAAGATGGACTTGTGAGATTTTATTATGAAGAACCCCTGTGTTTAAAGATTACTGACCATCTTCACTTTTCCTGGCCCCCAGCTGCAGTGATAGCCAATAAGATGGATACTGGCTAGGGCAGTGGTAGAACAGAAGCAGGGCAAGAAACCACCTTTGTTTCCCATAAACTCTACTGCAAAAATCTCTTTGGATAAATATCCCCTTTCAATGGCCATTTTTCCCACCCATGCACTTAGTCATTTCTTTCCTGTCCTCTCATGTCCAGTGTGGATTCATTTAGCAGCTTTTGCATGCTTTGTATGTGACCCTGAGGGGGATGTGACTTGATTCCCATCACAATGTCCTTGGGTTTCACTTTAAAATGTCACTAAAGCTCCTTTTACTTTTTATTGATTAACTTTCTCCCCATTTAAATTATTTACTGTAGAAAAGATTAGTTAATCTGAGTGCTATCTTGAATTCTGCATGAAGGAACTATTACAGAAAATTTTTCTTTTGATAACCTTTATTTAGACTAGAAAATTAAAAATAAAGCAGCATTAATAAAGTTAAGTCATTTATTATTAATGCATGCAGGTTTTTATATGCAATTTAAAAGATCTGAAAGTAGATTAACTTTGGGGATTTGCTTGAATCTTTAAGGTGTTCTCTGTTATTAAAAGAAGTTTCTCTTGCTTATCTAAGGATGGGCTTCAGTTTGCTTTCAAATTTAAAAATATGAAAGAATAATAAACCTAGGTAGATTCAATGCTACCAAATTCCACCAGAGCTAGATTTAAGAGTACTTTAGGAAGATGTATATTGATTTTTCAGAACACAAAGATCTTTCCTGAGCAGCTATTCTCGGCTCCATTATTGGTGGTACAGTTTCTAAGAAAGGATTCTCTGACACATATTATTTCTACATTGACATACTTACAGATGGTTCCACCATAGCTACACTGGTGAGGTCTCTTTCAGCTTAATCAAGAATGCTTATTTTACACTTTTAAAAGCATATCAAATGTGAAGCAATAATAATTAAGCCTTTTATTTTTATGAAGTCTTCAGAGATTCGTAGGGAAAGGCAACATGCAGTACTTTGTAAATGTCAACTCTCTTTACAGAATTGCGAAGGAGGCATTGCAGGCTGTCATCTGTTCTTCATGCTGCCTACTGACCCTCATTGGGAGCTACCAATTCCCAAAGATTCTGTACCCACTAAAAAAATAGCTCTCTCAGGCACAAAGCAAAATGTTAGACAACACACAGCAGAACAGCACCCACTTCAATTATACCATGCAGTGTGTTTTATAAAGAAGTAGGAACCAGAAAGTTCGATGTTGAAGGACAGTTCCAGCTGGCAAGCGACGAAGGAGAATGTTTTCAAATCAACTGTAGCAAATGATATTAGAATTGGTGGGAGGAGGTTAAGTTTCAGGCATGTAAAGAGAAGACAAAGATGATGCAGTTTTTACAATACAAAAGAATAAGCATTTGTGAATAAGAACATTCAAAAATGATTCTTAAAAGTCCAGGTGTACTTACATCTGAGGAGCTTAAAGGATGGGCCTCATATTAGAGTAATATGGCAGGTGTAGGTGACTTTGACTTCATCAGCATCTGATCTATTCCCTGGATTGTTATGAGGAAGCAAGATCCAAGGATAAAACATCCTGCTGTGTTTCCTCTGTATTGTTATTAACAGTAGCCTGCTTCATTTACAAAAGTATCAATTTTCCACAAATATGTACATGCTAACTTGAGTTATAGATCAACCTCTCTATTAAGATGGGGTAACACTGTGAACAGAGTAGCTATAGTTTCCTGAAGCTCAGTCACAGCCACGGTGTTTATTGGCTATGCTCACAGTCCGCAAGGTATGCAATGAACTCCAGGTTGACCATTTCCAACTATTAGATTCATCAAATATTTCAACTTTTGGAGCCAGATTTTATTCAGCAGAATTGAATCTTGTATTATGCTAGCTTTGTAGGTCACTGTTTCTTTATATTAGTCATATTTCTTGGTTTTATACTTGCTAATTCAATGATTGACTTCAAAATCTTTAAATGTCATTTTAATCTCCAGCCTTCTTCCTTGATTTAGAAGCATTCTTTGATTTCATCAAATTATTATTATTGTTTTTCATTTGTAGTAACTACAAAGCCAGTATTCTAGGTAACTTTTCTTCATTGACTTAAACTCCATTGAAACCCTCCTCCTCTTCCTCTTCCTCCTCCTCCTTGTCCTCCTTCCCTTCCTTCTCATGAACTATCTCCATTGGTTTTATCTTCTTTGAATTCTAAAATTCATAAAGATTCACATCTCAGAAGCAGTTATTAGTCAACTCTTCAGTCTATAGTTTGTCACTGTATGAATATGGACCTCACATTTTTTATTGAGCTTTTAAAATTTCATACAGTATTTCCCATTCACATCCAGACCCCCCCCCCAATCCATGCCTCCCCAGCCCCACCGAATCCTATGTACTCTGCCATACATGTTAAATCCTTTGCATTCAGGTGTTTGTACCAAAATGTCCTTCAGTGTAAATGCATCCACTGGAGTCTGGTCAGCCCATCCAGTGGTCATATGTAAGTCATACTCTTCCTCACCCAGTAGCAACCACTTTCAAATAGCTCTCGATCTAGTGCTGACCTGCCACCTATTTCTCACCTCCCCTTTGGGCCCTTGTTTAATTTAGCTGATATAGGTCTTGTGTTGGATGCCACCACTGTGGCATGTAGACATGAGCAAGCCTCCATTGGCCTGGAAGCCTCCACCTAATCTGTTCATGAACCACTGACTCTTACAATCTTTCTGACTCGTTTTCCTCAATGGTCCCTGAACCATGGGTAGGTGAGATTCCATATAGGCATCCCATCCTACACTCTACAGTCTCTTATTCTCCAAAACTTGGCCAGTGAGGCCTTCTCTGTGTAGCACACTCTGATGTACACGGAAGCCTCAGTGGTGAGAGTTGAGGGGTGCATTAGCTGTCTCTCTACCACTTATTCCAATATGTTCCATGAGCCTTGGTTGTTGGAATTTGATTGCAGATGTCACCTAGTACCAGGCATCTCCCAGGTGTATGTTCTCTATGCCTGACCAGATGTGCAACTCTGCAGTAGCCTCCATCTGTTGCAAAATACATTTCTTTGATGAGCGCTGTATGGCATGTTTGTTGCTCTAAGGGAGGTTTCTTCTATCTGGCACTGCATTACCTTCCAAGCAGCTCCTAGGTATACATATGCATTAATGTTCAGACACTGTATGTGCATTTCTCATAAGCTTTCTTTTCCCTCTAGGTTTCCTAGCCCCCCCCCCGAGATTCATTCATCTGTACCCTTTTTCTCCCATCTGGCATCCCTACTCCCTCCCTAGTCATAGTGCCCCCATTATTCCCATCCCTCCTCCAATACCTCCCGGCTCCCACCATCCCTCACACGATGGTCCCTTGCATGTTCATCCCTCATCTCTTCCCTGCCGATTACTTACAATTTTTCCATCTCCCTCAGGTAGCATCTGTTCCCTACTAGCTCCCTTTCAGGTTGTTTCTTTTCCTTTACCTCCATGTATCTTTTGCCTTTACCTGGCTTCTGGTGTTACCTCAAAATTTATATACTCACATATAAGGGATTGGTGCTACATTCCACAAATGAGGGAGAACATACCTCACTTGCTTTTCTGCATTTGTGTTACTTCACTTAGTGTAACAGTTTCTAGTTCCACCCATTTACCAGCAAATTTCATAACTGCATCTTTTCTAACTGCTGAGTAGAATTCCATTGAGTAGATGTACCACATTTTCATTAACCATTCATCACTTGAGGGACATTTAAGTTGTTTCCATTTCTTAGCTATTGTGAAGAAAGCAGCAACAGACATGGATGTACAGCTATCTCAACAGTATGATGAGTCCTTTGGTTATATGCCAAAGAGTGGTATCACTGGATCATATGGTAGGCTCATTTTTGGTTTTTTTGAGGGCTCTCCATACTGCTTTCCATAGTGGTTGCATGAGTTTGCATACTAACCAGCATTTCTCCACGTCCTCTCCAGCATTTGGAATCTTCTGTTCTCTTGATCTTGGCCAATCTGTCTGGGGTAAGATGAACTCTTAAAGTGGTCTTGATTTGCATTTTTTTAATTACTGAGGGTGTTGAGCACTTTTTAAGATGCTTTTTTAGCCATTTTTATTTATTCATTTGAGAACTCTCTGTTTAAGTCTATCACCCTTCTTTTTACTGGATCATTTATCTTTTTATTTCTTTCTTTTTTGAGTTCTTTGTATATTCCGGATAGTAATCCTCTGTTTGATGTGTATCTGGTGAAGATTTTCTCCTACTCAGTGGGTTTTCTCTTCCTTTTCTTAGTTGTTTATTTTGCTGTACAGAAACTTTGTAATTTAATGATGGACCTCATAATGTTTTAAACTTTTGAAGGATCTGTGGAATACCCATTCTTAAACAGAACAGAAAGGCATAATATAAGAGAGTTGTGTCATTTCTTTTAGAGTTAGGAGCTATTGATGCCATTTTTAAATGTATATGGGAAGAATGACTGGATAAGTACGATCAAAATTTTGACTGAAATTTTAATTTTTAAGCAATATTTATTCAATCTTTATTCAGAATCTTTATTCTAGTGGTTTTCAAAATGTGATCTATAGTTTGTAGTGTCATCAACACGTCAGAACTTGTTAGAAATTATGCTTTGCACCAATAGTTATTGCAACAAATTTTGGGGATGAAGTCCAAATTTTGTTTCAGAAAGTCTTCCAGGTTATTTAGTGAACACAAATATTTGAAAATCACTGCCTTAGTGATTACAAAATGAATTCAGAGGATTAAAACTTCCATTTAAAAATAAATAGAATAGTAAAAAGATGGCAAAAACTTACCTACTGTGAAATTAAGTGATGTGTTTCAAGTAATCTGTGAATGTAAAAGAAAAATAGAACAATCAGAAACTTTGAAATAAAACAAAATTTATATGAGTGTGGTTTTAAATTAGCCAATATTGTCATCCTAAATAAAGTTATACCTAAATTTGAAATATAGTTATTAACCTCTTTACAGATAAAGTACAACATACAAAGAACTCTTACAATTGATAGCATCTTCGTGGAAATAATGAGTTTAAAATATGAACACAAAAATTCTAAGAAAATTCCAGTGACCACAAGCATATATCAAAAGGCTTAATCTGTGTAACATGAGAGGAGTACAGATCAAAGTTCTATTGTGATATAACTTTCCATTCATCACTTAGGAAAGAATTTAAGTAAGATAAAAATCTATTGCTTACAGGGATATGAATAAATATTCATCGACATCCATTGCTTTTCTAATGTTAATTACAACAATTATAGCATGTTGTCAAAATGAATTAAAAATCAAATAGAAACGAAAACAAACAATAGTCTTCTAATGAAACTGTTTCAGGTATATACGAAACAATGCAATGGGATTGTTTTAGGAAATGTGTTTATTATGTCATATTGCGACGCAAATTACTTAAGGCAAAAGTGCACTAAGAAGTAAAGAGCTGAATAAAATGGAGTTTGTCTGTGTAATGTGCATCTAAGCTGTAAGCACAGATGCTGTGAGCTCCTGAGTGTGACAGCCATGTCCTGTCCAGAGGACAACATTTCACAGCACTCGACCCCATCCTCTGGCTCTTATGCTATTTCTACCCTTGTTCCATATTTCCTGAGCCTTAAGAATCAGGGTTGATATCAATGTCCCATCTATGGTAAGCATTCACGGTTGCTTATTCTTAGAATTTTGAACAGTTACAAGTTTCTGCATTAACCACTACCATTGCAATAAGACTGTTAACATTGAGAGAAGCACTGTGTATTAATATAAACATAAACATTGGCAGTTTGACAACCTGACCATTTAACGAAACAACATTGATAGTTCTCCCATTAGACCTATGACTTCCTCGGATCTTGGGTTTTGACCATATTTTCAGTACTAGACATGAATTCCCTCCTGTGGAACAGGCTTTGAATCCAGTCAAGAGAGCAGGTGGTTATCCCTATAAACGATCTTGACACTATTGTACCAGAGGATACAACTTGCCTGGCAGCCTGGTTGTAGTGTTCAGGGTCAAGTGTTGGTTGGACTATTGATGGCTTTTCTCCTCCTGTTGCCTGAACATGAAACTAACCTGGGGGAGTGAATTTCTTGGTCAGTTCAAGATTAATTTCTTTATGCCTTGTTATCTTTTCTAAAAGATCCATTTAGTTTATAATACTTTTATTTTCTATTTTCTATTTTATGTATTCAAAAAGTAATAAAAGATTATTTTAAAAAGCCATAGTTCAAGCTAACACCATCACTGAAAAGTGGACTATGCATATCAAATTTCTTTGAAAAATATATGAAGCCATAGATAAAACAAGTTTATCATGGAGAAATCTGGCAAACATTCTAATAAATCTGATGTCAATAGCACTATTGATATAAGGTATCTTTGGTGTGATTCTGTTGAGAATAACTCCTACTTGGTTGACCTGCCTCACCAAAATATAATACTCTAGTCCATTTACAAGAAAACATGAAACAAATCTCACTTAAGAGACAGTCTGCAAAATAACTGTCAAATACTCAAAACAGAAACCTATCAGAAACAGGGAGAGTGAGATATTCTCAGAACTAAGACGTACCTATGAAGCTGATGGTTGCATGCTAAATGGAATCTCCAGGGGAAAAAGGCACAATCTGAAAGACTCTCACTAAATCATGCACTATAAGAAACAATAATATGGAGCTGGGTAGACGGTGGTTAGGTGCACTGGCTGCTCTTACAGAGGACCTCGGTGTGGTTCTCAGCACCCATGTGGTGACTAACAACTATCTGTAACTCAAATTCCAGGCAATCTGATGCTTCTTCTGACCTCCATGGGCACTGCATGACATGGTGCACTTATACACATGCAGGCAATGTATTCATACACATAAAATAAAAAAAAAATAACAAAAAGAAGTAATATGTTAAAAAAGAAATAATAATATACCAGTAGTAGTGGATCAGTTACAGACAACATTATCCTCTGAAAGTAAAAGATTGATAGTACATACTTAATGTACAGTTATATGTAATACTTTTGTGCTGTTTGTATAATACTCCTGCAAATCAAAACTGACTATAAATTTAAATGTTTATCCAAAATCCATACAAAGCACAAAACCCCAGTGATTTTATATGTGTGTGTTTGTGTGTGTGTGTGAGAGAGAGAGAGAGAGAAAGAGAGGGAGAGAGAGAGAGAGAAAGAGAGAGAGAGAGAGAGAGAGAGAGAATGTTTTCAGTGTTGCAATTACCAAAGGGGACAAAGAACAGTTCCTGCTCGAGTCTTACTTACATACAACAATAAATCATGAGTATCTCCATACTGCATCCTAACAAGCAAAAGAATTTCACAAAGTAAGCAGCAAACCAAAGCTGTATTGCCTATGTTTGGTTGAATACGTTTCTTAAATCTCTTGAAATACTTATTTAGCTATACCAAACTAAGTTATTGGTTTATTTAGTCCCTATTGGTTTTTCATATTTCATTATTTATTTGGGTTTCAATGTTCCTATTGTGAAAGCCAACTTAATGATATTTTATGAATAGATACCACCTGATTTCTCTGAAATGTTATAGATATATAATTTGAATTGACATATAATTGTGCACATTAATAGGGTATAAATGACATTTCAATGTGTGTATAAAATGCTCAGCATTCCAGTTTCAATCAGGGTACCTAGTATATCCATGTTTGTCATACAAAGATTTTTCACATCGTAATATATTTTCTGTTTCAAGTTCTCCAAGGCTTTTATTTTTCTTTTAATAAATTTCCACAGATTTATTATAAAATTATCAACCTGAAGGTTTGTTGTTTTATTCTTTGCACTGAATATTTTGCTTTACAGGAAAATGTTAACAGTTTTCTCTCTATTCCCTCTTTACCATTAGCTCTATTTTCACCTTTATATTTATAATACAACTTTGTATTCTGTCCTGACTTTTTCTGTTTCATTTCTATCACTAATGTCAGACACTTTATCCTTGCTTGCAGTCTAGCCTTTTCATAGTCCTCCATTCTGTCTTTGTGTGACATCTAATTAGGGTCTCAGTTTCTCATGGGTGCTTCTTTTCTTCATCTGCCAGTCAAATTGAACAAATTTGTTCTATGTTGCATCTCTGGGCCAGTGGGCATGCTTTTTCTATTGACCATTTCCTGTATTAATGTTGACCTCACAGTGAGAGAGTCTGTCAGTGTAAAATGTCTCAAGCAAGACAGATTCAGTCATTTATAGCTCTTAGACACTGGTGGAGAAAATCCTTCATATTGTATTTCTGTACGTTTTCTGCAAACACACACTGCTGGGATGGTTCTAAACTATTTTTTCTTGAGTGTTCTGTTTCTGTAACAAAGGTCCTTGAAATATAGAAAGAGTATGTTCTTCATGATATAAAGAAAGATCACTTCCTGAGTGGATAGCAAAGATATCATCCTCTAGGACAAAGTCTAATCAGGTTCCCTAGTGCCTGTTCATAAAACTAGTGGTTCCACAAACTCAGGGCACTTTAGCTGTGACTAACTCATAGCACTCATTTTGGCCTGCCTCTCCTCTATACTCATGATACCGAAGTAATAAAAACACTCAGCACACAAACATCTCTTACCCAGAATCTATGAAACTGACTTGAATCCTATTTCAATGTAGGTGTTTGCCACACCCAGCTTCTCCTAGTGGCTGTTAAAATATTAAACCCTACAGAAAAACATCCACTTCGTATAAACCATAGGTTGCTTCCTCTTTACTTTGGCTTCAAGTTCTCATTTTCCCTTTGTGTTAGGTTTTTCTCTTATTCTCTCTTCTATCTTTTCGTCCATGTGTACTATATTTCCATATGAATTAAATAAAAAATGTCAATGCCTAGCATGGTAACTCACACTTATAATCCAGGTGCCTTGGAAGACTGACACAGGTAGATAACAAGCTCAAGACCAGTCTGTGAAACAGAGAATTTGTCCCAAATAAAATTAAAAAATAGAACTGAATTGCTCTAAGTCCTGTGTCTGAAGTGTGGTCTGTCTTCAGCAATACGGTCTTACTTTGAAGTTCTAGAAGGAAATCAAGGGCTGTGGCAAAAACGTGTTATTTTGGGGAGAGAGTGTCTTACAGGGATGGGACTCTTAGTGGGCTCAGTGGATGGACTCACACCGAAGGACACTTGGGACACAAATCATACACCCTCAGCTGTATTATATAGAAAATAGAGTGCACTAAATCGGGTACAGGAAAATGGGAAAAAGTGCAGATAGGGGATGGGATCTAAATAACATTAAACTACATTATATGAAAGTGGCAAAAAAACTCAATAAAAAGTTATTTTTAAAAATGAGCTGAAGATTGTTGTCAGTTGTAGAATACTCTCCTGCCATATGTAGGCCCATGGCTTCCATCCCCAGAACAATATAAACAGACATACAGACACACAGACACAAACACACACACACACACACACACACACACACACACACACACACACACACGTATTTCTATGATATGTGCTTTTTTTTTTAAACTTATCAGTTCTCTCATACTGACCAGTTGTCCATGGGCCTCTTCTGATGTTAATATAATTGTTGAATTTCAGTTTTCATATAGGTATTATTAATTTGGTTTCAAGAATCAACTGAGTCATCTTGAGTAAGTTTCTTCGTTAAAGTTTCTAGTTCTAGGACCATATGTATAAATGATATGCCCATACCTTTTTCTCTAAATCAAGGACAGGTATCAAAATAATCATCATATTACCCTCCATTCTTATTAGAGCTCTTCACAAAAATCCATGGAGATACATTCCTTTTCACATAAGCAGTAAATAAATGTAAGATATGAATTAGCTTTAGAGGTCTCATCA